TCTCTCCATCCACTTCGTTGTCTCTCTCGCTATCTTTCCCTCGGCATCGCGTGGTCTCTCTTCGCTCTCGCCGTTCTCGCGCGGCGCGCCCCCTACTGCCGCTCGCGCCCAGGTCGCCGAAGTCCATGAGATGATGCAGGTGAAGGTCGAAGAATATCAGGATCTCGAGCCCGAGGTAAAAGAAGAGACCAAGAGCGAGGAGGAAGGCGCGCCAGGAGGTCGGGCAAGCCTGGCACAGCGCCTACGAGCCGACGCCATGTGCAAAGATGCACGCATGCGAGATCAGCCCCGATCTCGAAGTCGCCCCCGTGCCAACGCAGCTGGGCAGCAGCAGGGCCGCCGAGAGGATGGGCCTCGGATCCCGAGAACGCCTGAAAGGAAGCCCGCCAAAGCCACGCTCAACACGGAGGACGAGCTCGAAGAGTTGTCCGATGAAGACCCGTCGAAAACCCAAGGGCGGAACGCTGCGATATTGGCAGCGCGGGCAGGCGATTGGAGCAAGACGTACAAGGTGTGGTGCGGCAAGAGTGCGGCCTCCAGCTCCAGCAGCGGACCTTTCGGCGAATGGGTTTCCGTGCGTGCCACCCCGAAAGAGCTGAAGCGCAAGATGCAGACGGAGATTCCGCAGCGTGCGAGGCCTGCAGCACCGAAGCAGCGACCGCAGTCAGCGTCGCAGAGGGACGATGGCCGGTCATGGAGCTGGAGCTCGCGGGGCAAGGGCTGGACGGCACCCCACTGGTCGAGCTCGCGGCAGTAGATGCCGAGGAGGAGGAGGAGGCCGGGAGGCCGAAGGCCAAGATGACAGGAGGCCAGGAGGAGGCCTGGAGGCCAGGATGCCGAGCAGGCCACGAGGCCGGGCAGGCCAGGAGGCCGAAGGCCACGAGACTGAGGGGCGCACCTGCCCCGCCGCGAGTGGCCCGCTGGCCACCGCGCACGGCGGGCGCGCAGCTTGCGCGCGCCGCGCCGGCATAACCGATTCCTCCCTCTCTTTCTGTTTTCTTTCGTTTTCTCGCTGTCTCTCTCTCTCTCTCTCTCTCTCTCTCGCTCTGCGCCCCCTCTCTTTATTGTTGTTGTGTTCTCTCTCTCTCTCTCTCTTTCCCTATGTCCCTCGCTCTCTCTCTCTCTCTCTCTCTCTCTCTCTCTCTTTCTCTCTCTATATAGATGTATATTTATATATATATATATACATATATATATATCCCGTGCTATCGCTCTTTTTGTTTTTCTCTCTCTCTCTCTCTCTCTCTTTATCTTCTGGTCCCTCGTTCATTATTCGGGTGATTTCTATTCCTCGTGGGTCACCCTCACTCGAGCTCTCGCCTCGCTTGTTGTTGTTTTTTATGTATATATCGTGGTTAGTTCTCACGCGCAACAGCCCATGTTTATGTTTTCGATGCTTGGATGCCACTCGTGTGCAAACCAATTTTGCGATCAATCGACGTGCGATCGATATGGGGGGGATTGACATGGGGGGGCCCACCGATCCATCGCCCCGCTGCGCCCTCGAGGACTCGCCGCGTCGATCGTTTCGATCGAGCCCTTGCAATCCTGCCCCGCGGCTTCGCCGCTCCGCCCCGCACGCCCCCTCAGAATTTCGTTCGGCGCACGTCGCGCCGCGCGTTCGCGGGGGAGGGGGGGGGGGGGGGGGCGAAACTCGATGCCCTCGAGCCCGCCCCGTCGAGCCCCGGCGAAATCCCCCCCCCCCCCTCGTCGTGCGTTGCATCGATCGCACGCGTGACCGTTTTTAGGAAAGCGTGGTCGGCTGCGTCCGCGCCCAGAGGGCCGACGTGCATAGCAACGCGCGCGCGGAAATTTCGGATGAAACATCCCGCGCGCACGCGACGCACGCATGCACATAAAGACATAGGTCAAGCACACATATATATATATACATACATACATGTAACATAAACCATGTAAAACCGATTCGGGACAACAACCGATCCGGTAACACCGATCCAAGATAAACCGATCCGGCGCAACTGCAGAAATCATGAACAGGCTTCCTGGATCCGCAAAACGGATCCTGAGGACTTCTGGGACGAAGGCAAGGCGGGCGTGCTGATCAGCAAGCGAGTGATGAGGATGTCCCAGGCGAAGCGAAACATGAGCGACAACAGGCTCTGGCTAGGACGACTTGAAGTAGCAGAGTTCGAGAAGCCGATGAGAGTGGGCACTGCAAGGTCGACCTGCTCGGCCCAGCTGGGCGCGACCGTGGATGGCGCGAGGCTGAAGATCGAGGACCTGGAGAACCTTTTTTCAGCGGGGTCGTGTCGGAGCCGCGAGGCCGACGCCGAGGTGCCAGTTCTCGGCGCGATGAACCAGGTGCCGGGCGCGATGGGGACGCGCTCGCCTCATCGCGCGCGTCCAGCGGCAGCGCGGCGTGGCGCGAAGGATATGGGGTCGTTTGACAAGGTCAACGGCTGGGATGCTCGGGCGCCGATGAAGGAGAAGAAGGAGAGGCGTATCCCAGGCGCCCTCAGAGTTTCGGGGCGGCTCTCCGACGACTCCGTGTAAGTCTAGGTCACGCGGCGACGGCAACGACGCTCCGACATCGCGTGCGATCGCGAGTCCCGAGGCCATCCAGCATGCAGCGAATTTCCACTGCGATGACTGCGAGTCTCGACGACAGCCAGGTATTGCCAGGTATAGTTCGCCTCCGACGCCGCAGCATCCGTCGAAGCCCATTGCAATGTGTGCGAAGGAGCTTCCATGCTATCTTTCCTGGGAGCGGCGGAGATTGCTGAACATCGTTTGTGAGGTATCATCCTTGCGCGCGATGGCGCCTCCCCGACTGGGAGAGACCGAATCTTCCCTCATTCCTACTTCGCGCGGATCGGGGCCACTGGGCTCGGCCGCGCGCGAGGCCCGAACGGCAGAAGGTGGATGCTGCAAGCGCGAATGCGTCGGTGGAGCTTCAGTGCGCCATGGACAGGGATGGGGCGGTTATCGTAGATGCGGCGGGGATGGCAAAGGAGCAAAATGGGAAGGTGGAGGTGCATTGGAAGCGGCTCGAACAATTGTAGCAGGTGATAATTGATGAGGTTCAGCCCCGGGATTGGAACGAGCGGCTGGAGCGCGCGGCGCGGCTTCAGGAAGCCAGAAACTCCATGTCAATGTAAGCGGTGTTTCTCCGTGCCAGATGGCGCTCGGCGGGGGCGCAGAGATTCGGGGGGATGTGTTTCGCAGCTGCGCGCAGTGGCTCGCCGTGGGATTCTCGCTCATAACGAGGGGGGCGCCGCTGAGATTACATGGCGTTTCAGGCCGGAGACGCGTCTGCCGCATGGCGCATGATGAAGGGGGCCACCGCTGGCGCCCGGGTGTCCGCGCGGGGCCCGCTAGGCCTCCAGAGGGGCCCCCAGAGGAGGGGGGCGTCGCCGATCGAACCGACTCCTGGGGCCCCGCCGACCACGCCGATTCCGACTGTGGCCCCCTCGGTTTCCGTTTCCGCATCCATGCCGCGCGCCAGCCGGGGGCCCAGTTCGCTTGGCTGGTTCTCGCCGAGTTCTCCTCGGGTCAAAGCGGCCAGACTTGGCCCGCCAGTCAGAGGGGCTGATCGAGCCGCCGCAGTCCGAGCAGCCTCGTCCAGAGGCGCTGCCAGGTCTCTCCGACTCCAGCCCTCGTCCTATCTGAACCCTCCAACCCCAGCGACACTCCGCTGTTCGACCGCGGTGCATTCGCGCGCGCGGGAGCCGACGAGGCTTCGATTTTGACAGCGATTGAGACTGAGGTCCCCGGCCCGCGGGAGGAAGGAGGACCGCGAGCGGGGCCCGTGGCGGCAGACGGAGAGGGGGGGGCGACAGGCGGGGGAGGCGCATCAGGCGGCGCTTCGGAAGCTCATCGTGGATCAAAATGCTGGGAACGCTCGCTTGGTCGAGGAGTCGCGTCGGCTTCGCCGGGGGGTTCCAGATCGCATCCCACCATCGAGGCCGGTGCTGACCCTGAAGACTGAAGACGATGGGAGCGCAGAGCTACGATGCAGATTAAAGGTGACATGCATCAAGGATCCAGATGCACTCTAGATGGTCAGGTGGTCAGGGCTAGGGGGGGCCCAGAACCCGACGCCCCCGGCGACCAGCAAAGCGACCGCGCTGCAGCTGGCGGCCTGCTCGTTTTCAGTTGGTCTCTCGGACATCCGCGAGGCCTTCCTAGCTGAAGAACGACCCGGGGGGCCCACGTTTGTGGGGGCGCCCGGGAACCGTGATCCAAAAGGGGCGCTATCCTAACCCGCTGTAGGAGCTTGTGAATGGCTTCAGTGGGGTCGATCAACCACGGAGAGGGCGCTCGACTTTACGCGCGACGCCAGGGAGAGTGGCCTCGTGGCCCACCCTCTCGACCCCCGTCGGTTTATGATGACTGGGCCGGCGCGCGCTGGGCAGACGGCCCCAGCGCGACCGACGCGCGTGCCGACTGGGTCCTCATGGGAGCCACCGGGGGCGCCGCGCGGGCCGATGGGGGTCCGCGCGGGCGACGCGGCGCGGGGTCGGGGGGGATGGGTGATCGGCAAACTAAAACAAGGGTTTCCCTGGAGGGGGCGGAGGCGCGTTTCTGGAGAATTCGCGGGGCCTCGGTTGCAACCGCTTTCGGGCGGGGCGATTTCTCAATCTCAGAAAACATTTCCCGAGACAATGGAGCCAGTGAAACTATGGCGACATGCTGCGAATGAGAGCAGGGTTCTACCCGAAGAGGCACCCGCGCTGATCTCGATGAATCAGGCCGGCAGTTGGCTTGGCAATCGAGGCCGGGCCATGCGCGGCAGGTCGGCAAGAGCGGGCAGTTGCTGCCGCGCCCGAGCGCGAAGGGGGCATGCTATGCGATCGCGTTGGCGCGCCGAGCTCGTCGGCATAAGGGCATTGCGATCAGGTATTTGCCCATTCCGTTCCGGGGGCCCAGGGGGAAGGCTCGCGCGGACTTTGCCAGGGGGGAGATCGACGGTCTCAAGATGGCCCAATGTGGCTAAGTGCGACGACGCCGGTGATGCAACGGGGGCGGGCGTCGCCATGGATTTCTTCAATCTGGAGAAGCTGCTGGCTCAGGCGGGCAGTGCGATCATCTGTGGGCGGAGAGGCTTCGGCATTGGCCGACGGTCTGGGGCATCTGGAGTGGGCGATGCGTTTCTTTGCGGGCTCGATGTTTCCACGGCTTATCCTGGGAAATCAGTGTGGATTCATGAGGGCGGCCTCGAGGCCATCGCGATCGTCGACGCAAAATCTGCGCAGGATCGCGTCGACATGATCGGATCCCCAGGGGGCCCTGAGGACCGGAGGCGCGCAGTGTTGCTCGCGATTGCCTGCGGGGCCCCCCAGAGTTTCGGCGGCGGCAGATGGGGCCCCGCGTCGTCGACGCTGGCAGATGCGCTGACAATGGAAAAATCAGGCGCTCATGATATACTCCAGGCTTGCATTCTTTCGGGAGCCCACCAACTTGCCGGCGCGCCATCGGCCCTACCCTAGAAGAGGCCGCTGTAACTATATAAAGAGCGGAGGAGAGAGAGAGAGAGAGAGAGAGAGAGAGAGATAGAGAAACAGAGAGAGAGAGAGAGAGAGAGAGAGAGAGAGAGAGAGAGAGAGAGAGAGAGAGAGAGAGAGAGAGAGAGAGAGAGAGAGAGAGAGGAGAGAGAGAGAGAGAGAGAGAGAGAAAAACAAAGGATGGAAAGAGAAGAGATAGCGAGAGAGAGAGAGAGAGCGAGAGAGGGAGAGAGAGAGAGAGAGAAATCAAACAACAAACAAACACAAAAACAAGAGAGAGAGAGAGAGAGAGAGAGAGAGAGCGCCATCGTCTCCACGGCAAGGCGTCCTCGAGCGATTGGTCGGCGAGCCTGCCTGATCCCATCGCGCCCCCCCTCCGCCAGCGTTCGCGGCGCGGCGTCCAGACGGTTGGCTTCTCAGCGGCGGGAGATCCCCAGACGGCGCGCAGCCTCTTCAAGGCCCTGGCAGATGCCGAGACAGGCGGCCCAAGCATGATGAGCTGCGCGACGGCGTCGACGAGGATTGTGGCAAAATTTCCAGCAGGTGCACGCGACGACGGCCCGCGACGCAATCATAACTTCAAGGCGACGCTGAGTTACCACAACAGCACGAACCATGTCCAAATCATGTGTCTGGCAGCCATTGAGGATGCCAGAGTGAGTCAAGTCTCGGAGGTAGAGCAGAACTGCGCGGACAAGGTCAGGGGCGGTTCGCCCAGCAAGATGGACATGCCGAGCGGGCGCGAGCACCTGGGTAAGGTGGTGATTCCGCCGGTAGAAGTCGATGGGGCAGGGCGCAATGCAGATCGGCGTCGCGAAGCAGGAAGAGACGGGCTGCGCCGAGATCGAGAGGCCCGAGATCGCGGACCAGGACCCCGCGCATCAGGAGGCCACCGTCCACGCGGCCGTCGTTAAGAGTCACAGTCTGCCAAATTACCCGGACAATGCTGGCTGAAGGTGAAGGAGTCTTTGGGTCTGCAGTTGGCGGCCATACAGACGGAGTCCAAGTCGTGCGACCGCTAGGCCCCAAGGCGAAGGGCAAGCGCCAGGAGACGAACACTGAATGACTCCAGCCCTGGGTATCAGGTAATTAGACTTTGACTGCATGTAGGCGAAAGTTTTGCCTGATGCCTCGTGCGTGCCTGCGTGCATGCATGTGCCTCGCCGCCTCGCCGTTCCCAGCCCGGACCAATATAGTGGGTTATCGGGAGGCGCGAAATTCATCGTGTTTTCGAGGGATCGTGCAACGGTCTGCGACGAGAGGGGGGGCCTTACAATATTACAGAAACGCCACCAGACAGCGCTTGGCATTCTGCCACGCCTCAACGTGCCAGGGGGCACGGTGGCGGAGTGGCAGTGGTGGTGGGGAGGACGCCGAGGACGAGGACGAGGAGGAGGAGGAGGAGGGGGAGGAGGAGGAGGAGGAGGAGGAGGAGGAGGAGGAGGAGGACGAGGGGGACGAGGAGGAGGAGGAGGACGAGGGGGACGAGGAGGACGAGGTTGAGGACGACGAAGATGACGAGGTTGAGGAGGAGGAGGAGGAAGAGGAGGAGGAGGAGGAGGAGGAGGAGGAGGAAGAGGAGAGGGTCAGAACGGGGAGAGACGATGAGATGCAGGATTTGGTGCGATCATTGCCTTTGTTGCCTCCTGGTCTGTCACCAAAAGATGGCATATCGGTGGCGAGAACTGGGCAAGCGCGTGCGCAGGTCAGCCAAAAGTGCCCTGCTCGCGGCGCGCCTCTTGTCCACAGCGCCGCGCTCCCCCCTCGGCACTCTTCTCCTGCGGTGGCGGCGTCGAACCGTATCCGGGGTTCGTAGAGTGGGGGTTGTTCCAAAGTGCGGTTCGGGAGCGAGCCCTGTTGGATGCTCACGCTTGTTTGCTGCAGGGGTTGTTTGGAGCGGTGTTCGTCCCAACCCCGCCTCTGCTCTACACCGTTTTTGTTACGCTTTCCCGGACATAGGAGCGGCGTTGGTTCGGAGGGGGGGCACATGTTCCTTGCGTTGCCAAGGCGTCGACTGCACGCTCCGTGTCCGTGCCCCGCCGTTGCCCGTCCCATCCCACCCTCGCGGGCCCCCTTTTGGGCGTTTCCGTGGGCCTCCAGAGGCCCTTTGCAAGGCAGAAAAGCACAGAAACGTACAGCGCTAGACCCTCGAGCCCTGACCCACCTCATCCTCCTCATGCTCCTCCATTCCTTCTCCTTATGAACAATTCTTCCTTGTCGCACCCCGAGGCAAGTCGAAACGGCGGGCAAGACGTTTCGCTTGAGATTCCCTGGCCACTAATGACCCTGAGGCTAAACAGCGGCAACAGCTTCACACGTGAAGGGCGGATCGTCTCCAATATGTGGTCCTCGCCTTAGCGCCGCGCGCATTCGCTTAACAAACATGCCAGAGCTTCACGGATTGAGGGCGGGCCGCTTCCGAAATGTGTCTCTCGGTTGAGTGCCGCGCGCATTCGTTTTCCAAACGTTTGGAAGAGGTTCGCGGGTTGAAGGCGGGTCGTTGTCAATATGTGGTTCTCGTCGTAACGCCGCGGAAGTTCGCTTTAGTTTCACGGATGGAGGGTGGGTCGTTTTCAAAATGTGGTGTTCGTTTTGGCACGCTTCAGGGTCTTCGAACAGTTGTCTCCCTACGAGGCAGTTCCCTGAATGGAAATGAGCCCGTGTAGGAGCTTGTGAAGAGGGAGTTGGGGGTGAGGGTTTTGTCCAACATCGTTGATGAGTGTTGGGTTTACAAGGGTCCCCCTCCTCCTCCCCTTCCCTCTCCCCGTCCCCCTCGCCCCCCCGCCTCCCTCCCGCCCCGTCTTTGCTTCGAAGCTCAGCCCCCATGCCGCCTCGCCCCGTCTGGTCGCCTCCCCTCCCGTACGCTGGGCGCGCGGCGGGCGGGGAGGGCGGGGCAGGAAGCTTTCGCCCCTCCCTCCCCCCGCCCACCAAGAATCTGCGACGGGGGAATGGGCGACCTTGGGAGGAGGAGGAGGAGGAGGTGGAGGAGGAGGAGGAGGAGGAGGAGGAAGAGGATGAATTGAAGGAGGAGGAGTATGAGGAGAAGGAGGATGATGACGCCATTTGCATCGCCTTCGTCGACGACACGTTCATCATGGCGCAGTGCAACGAACACGAGCTCTTGGAATACTACATGACGGACCTGGCCACCGACACTCATACCATACGAGCTACGGCTCCAATCTCAATTACAAACCACGCAAACCAATATTCACACTACACCTAGCAGGACCAGGTACAATGCAGGTCAAACAACAATGACTTGCACGCACAGATGCCAGCATCTACTGCCCACCGTGGGACTTAAACATTCCGATCATGCACATGTTCGACTACCTTGTAACCCACTTCGGCCCAACGTGCAGCACCAATGTACGAACGACCCACCAAGTTACTAAACAAAAAGCAGCACTCATTCCACTCAAAGCTACACAATTCAATATTTGACACCCACGCACAGGCATCAAAGTAAGTATGGCAGACACTCTTTGCCAACTGCCACCTCTTCTACCAGGCGGAAACATGGGATCCAAGAGCTGACAGCACCCTGGCACATCTCAATACAGCGCGCAACCAAGCATACAGAAGTGCCACTCAACCTCACCACCTTCAGCAGCCAAACGAAGCGACTTCTGACTCACAGCTACTACTCAAGCCGGACAGAACCGACTACCAGGCAGAGCTCCAACCACGACGACTTAAATACTTGTCCAAACTCACTACGCATGGTCCGCACACTATTCAAACGTATTGACCTTAGCCACGACCAGCACCGACACGCAGCCAACATTCACGAGACTCCAATCACGTGGACCGACCTCATCAACGCGGACCTACGATGGCTAGCCATGCTCACCACCACACCCGACGACCCCCAGCGACACCGGAACATCGAACGATGGATCCAATACGCACATGACGCACCTATGCAGTACAGCAGCCGAGTCAACAAAGTCAGGAAAGTATGACATATTGTTTTCAGCGGCCAACTTAGCACGGCGCTGTGGACACATAGAATGCAACACATCGACTACGACAACGCAACGCATCAACCTGGCCCACCGACTCAAGCAACAGCGTTCAAATGCTACGAGTGCGGCCGCACTTCCAAGACCACAAAAGTTAGGCATCCTCAAGCAGACGATGTACACAACAACATACTTAGGAGCATACCTGTACCACCACCCTTCGGGTGATAAGGAGGTTGTGGGGGGGGAGAGGGAGGGGGAAACAACATCCGACTCAATCGATCTCACTATCGATCTCACTCAACGGGACACCATGGGACACCACGGGACACAACTGGACACTTGTCGATCTCACTATCGATCTGACTATCGATTTTACTCAGCGGGACACCACGGGACACCATGGGACACCACGGGCCACCACGGGACACCACGGGACACCGAGGGACACCTCTCGATCTCATTACCGGTCTCACTATCGATCTCACTATCGATCTCACGCAACGGGACAGCATAGGACACCACGGGACACCATGGGACACCTCGGGACACCACATCGATCTCTTGATCGATCCCACTATCGATCTCACTCAACGGGACACCACGGGACACCGAGGGACACCTCTCGATCTCACGATCGGTCTCACTATCGATCTCACTATCGATCTCACGCAACGGGACAGCATAGGACATCACGGGACACTACGGGACACCTCGGGACACCACATCGATCTCTTGATCGATCTCACTATCGATCTTACACCACGGGACACCACGGGACACCTGTCGATCTCACTATCGATCTCACTTTCTGGGACACCACGGGGCACCGAGGGACACCTCGGGGCACCACATCGATCTCACTATCGATCTCACAATCGATCTCATTTTTTGGGACACCACGGGACACCCCGGGGCACCACATCGATCTCACTATCGATCTCATAACGATCTCACTATCGATCTCGTTCAACGGGACACCACGGGACACCGCGGGGCACCGCGAGCCACCGCCGGACGGACGGACGGACGGACGGGGGATAATCATTTGTCTTGACTTCGCCCTAGCAACGGCGGACACCACGGGACACCGCGGGACACCGCGAGCCACCGCGGGACACCGCGGGACACCGCGAGCCACCGCTAGACAGACGGACGGACGGAGGAGAATCATTTGTTTTGACTTCGCCCTAGCATCTGCGGACACCACGGGACACCATGGGACACCATGGGACACCACGGGACACCGCGGGACACCGCGAGCCACCGCCAGACGGACGGAAGGACGGAGGATAATCATTTGTTTAGATTTCGCCCTAGCAGCGGCGGGTTCATTCCTCTCGCGCGCCCAATCAGCTTCGCCTCGCCCGCACGCACGACACGAACGAAACGAAACGATTTCCTGGTTGGGGGTCTCCGTTCCATTGCGATCTCACCCCCCAACCTCCGATGCCTAAGCTGCAGCTAACAATTCCACGCGCGACAAGGACTACCCACTCACATCAAGTACCACGTATTGGGCTGCTACATATTCTACATGCAGAGCGTCGACAACATGCCGCCAAACGGGGTAGCATCACCACGTGCGGACGAGGACTGGGAGAACAAGGGCAAGCGCAGCAAAGGACTACGACATGACGCTAAAATACCCGTCGCCATACCAGCAGGCTACAGACGACAGCAAAAACAACGACCTGTCAACGTCGCGCTGCCCGCCGAACAGGACGCCACCCCGAGACAACAACACACACAACCATCGCACAGACTACTCCTCTTCCAAGCACTCGAGGCACATGTAAGACTTACAACACCACCTGGACACCAACCCCACCACGCAACGCTACACTTGCATCAGCATAGGACTGAGCAAAAAAACACTACAGACCTAGCAGACAGGCACGCCACACATGAACGAGCCACTGATATCAAACAGGGTGGCGTAGCAGTAACTAGAACATTCCATGTCAACACGATTGGATTCAGCAGAGACCTACATAATGGCCATTACTGGGGCATTCAGCACCGCCCTGCATCTCAATTACACAAGGCGCGCAGCAATAACCGTAGGTTACACGCACGACAATACTATGACAGTAGCGCACCACACCAACGCGCAAGCCACCATGCTGACCACACAAGGAGCACCGAGCACAACGCGGCATCTGGAGCATACCCAACTTGAGACACTTGTACTCCAAGACCATGGGCAGCAAAGCCCGCGACGCTACTTACGTGACCACATGGTGCCGACCAGAATTAGCACAGGGCACTAGACCAACGACACAACAACCGCAGATGCGACTGCCTTACATGCGACACGCATCCGTCCGAGATAGTAGAACGCAGCTACATCATCCTGACAACACTGCGCCATATCACCACCAACTGCAAGGCAGCGAATCTGGCGCGATGCCCAACTCCGGCTGTTCCTACTGACCCACGTGGATATGTGCCACTAGATTCATACTTGTAGCAACACACGACACCAACATATTTTGACCAATTCTACACCGCGAGCACACCTCCTACTCACTCACACATACTGCGCCCGGGACACGACAGCACCAGTCGAACACAGATCCAGCATGGAAACCCAATTAGGCATCCCCAGGATTGAGGCACGGTCAATCCCGACAGTCGCCCAGTACCAAATAGATGTGCGCGTACAATTGCGAATATAAGATGATCTCATTGACGATGCATCTCGCACGCCTCAGACCGTTGCGCACCCAGAGGTGAGAATGCGAAAGTGGTGATACGCGTTACACACACACTTTGTCTATGGCCTACTGTCTTGTCAGTACCGACAGACGCGGACAGTCAAAGGTCTATCCGACATGGGCGATGATCACACTTTAGTTGCAGTTGGTCTGTCCACATCCTCACATTTGGAGTATGTATGATGCGCAAGAGTCGCTCCTGCTGGTCGACGCGTTATTTGGAGCAGTGTCGCGGCCCACTTTGGTTCTTCCACAGACAGCCTCCCATGTCGGACGAGCGCCGTCCAGTACCTGGCGCAGCGCTGTCTAGCGGCGCGCGCGCAGCACAGCACAGGCCCTTCTCGCCTATCAGGACACGCACAGTCATGGCCTGCACCGCGCGTGGGATGGGAGCCAGACGGCGCGCCCCAGGTAGGAGCAAAATCAAAAGGCCATGCAGTACAGGCGAGCACTGACCCATAACTACGTTCACCTGGCGAGAGAATGGCGAAGTGGAACATCTTGAGAACGGGGTAGGTCCACGCGAGGCAGTTACACGCCTCCACGACGGGCCCCCGACTGAGGCAAAGGGGCGGCGCCATGAATAATCTCGCCCAGACCAGAGCTCTCGCCACGCCAATGCCCATGGATCACAGCGCGATCAGCATCCCGGAGCGGTCTCTGGCTGCCAGCGCGGCCGCAAACGCAATCCGCCTACCATCGGCCGAACTCTCGGAAGAGACGTCCAGAATTGAGGTGGGGGCACGCGCTGCGTGGCCAGGCGCGCTCGGAGACTCGACGCGCGGGCAGTCCACCACGGGGGGTCTCATGGAAGGTAACGCAGCGTCAGAACTTACAGTTGCGCCCAGTTTGTCTCCTCGTCTCGGACGCGGCGGCGCCGCTGTGACGCGTGGACAGACAGTGCTTCCTTCCCACCGATGCCGCGGTACCATACAGCGAAAGACTTCGCTGCGTGCCTCGACGTCGACGTCGTTGACCTCCCCGGCATCTTTCCAACTGCGGGCAGCTGACTGCGTTCGCCTGATCCGCGCGATGCCGCGCAAGAAGTGCCGGGCCCTATCCGCACCGGTCCAGAACCTGTTGTTCCCGTTGCGGTCGTCGCGCGGGTCCACCTGCGCGAGAGTTCCTCTTTCTTCGGAGACGAACGAATGCCAGTCCCAACTACTTAGCGCGTCTCTGCGTCGAATATTCTACGATGGACGACCAGATCAGACGTTCATCCCTCGACTTCTCGTACGCAAGCAATGAACGTGAGAAAAAAGGATGCAGCCGCGTGGTCTGGCGCCACCATCGCCCCAAGCGCCGCCAGGTAGTTTGCGCCCTCCAGACCGTCTTGGCCAGGAGCTTGATCGCCTCGCGAGGAGGCGGCGCGGGCGCGGGCGCAGCCCGCGTCCATGACGGTCGCGCGCAGGCGAAAGCAAGGCGGGCACGCGCCGCGCAGCTTCCAGGGACTGACCCCAAGATGGCAATGGCCGTCATCACCTTCCGCCAGCGCCGCCGACGTGCAATGTCGCACCTCGCGTTGGCAGGGCGCGCCGAGACTCCGAGGTGTTCAACTTCTCGCGGAGGGTCGTCTTGATCAGACCATGTCTGCCTGTCCTTTGCGTTCTCGCTGTAGCCGATGCCCGCGTCGAACTTTCTCGCGCCCTCGAGCCCTTCCTCGAGGGCCTCCGGCGATGATGCTATCAAGTAGCGGTCGCCCATGAAACGCCCTGGCGAGCCGCGCGGCTGCCAGGGGGCGAGCGCGCGCGTCGTCGCCGAGGGGGCATCGTAGTTAGTCACCCTTGCAGTGGACCGCGATATGGGTTCATGATGGGCTTGGCGATCTCCCCGTTCTCGCTGCGGCGCCTGGGCCCAGCCCGAACGGCGGTGCATGTGGAACGGGCGGCTGCTGGCTACCTTGGCGCCTCCATGCTGACACCTGCAATCTCGCGATTGATATTGCCAGGAGCTTTTGAAGTCTCCAACTCGCATCAGTTCGTGCCCATCTCGCAACCATGGAATCATTGGTTGATGTCGTGGGCGACGGAAACACGCATGCGGCTGACCAGTTGATTCAGCGGGGGCGTCGGAGCAGCGGCTGCCAGCGTCCAGAGCCAGGTGCGTAATAAAACGCTGCCCATCGAGATATGTCCCGCATCCTTGTCCGCCTTCGGAATGCCAGCGATCCTCCGGGGGGAAATATTGAAGCGCGTCTTGAGGTGGATATCCACGATGTCGCGCGTGTAGGGCGGTCGCATCGACCCTCAAATTAAACCGCGCATCGACGGATTCGATGTGCATGTTGTCCAAGATACGCATCTCGTTGAAAAGGCCGACCATCCAATCCCGCGCAGCCCTCGAAGCACTTGGCGGCCGCTGAGAAGTCGGCCTCGGACGGGGCTCAATCATCGGGTTTGCTTGTCTGGGGAAGGCGCAGCTGCAGCATGTTGTCGCCACCTGTCGAGACAGCCTTCTGGGTCGCGAGGCTTCGGCGGCGGTCGCCGCCGCGCCTCCCGCTGCTCGCGCGCGTCGGAGACTCCGCAGGTAGATGAGGCCAAGACAGGCTTGAACGCAGGCGTAGCCGCTGACAGCACCTCCGAGGACCATTCAGCAATCTTCACTTCCCACGAACGCTCTCCTTGGTAATGGGCGAACTGATCCACCGCAATGCGTCTGAGTAGGTAGGTGTGCCCACCGTCTTGCCCGCCGCCTTGGCCTCCGCGATGCCGTCGTAGGCGGCCGCGGCGAAGTTCGAAAGTGTCTTGTAGTATGTGCGTCCGTGTTGGGCGTGGCCTGTCGCGGCTGCAACCAGAAACTGCGGTGTAATCGTAGCAGACGTCGATTGCGCTGCGCTCTGATATGGCCCATGCCGTGCTGGGGCCGCGACAGGCCTCCGCGTCGGCGTCGCTCCCTTCGGACGTTCGGGGCCGCGAGCCAGATCCAGAAAACTTTTGTCCACCGCCAGGTCATAGCTGTCTCCGCTCTCTCGTGCCAGTATTACCAGCGAGTGATGATAGAGACGTGTGGCCCAATTGACGGTGATCCAACTTCTCGGTCGGGTAGCTCATTGAGTTGGCGCAATTCCTCGTGGGTCGGCTCTTTGGATGGTAAGATGGACGCGGTATGCTTCAGGCGATAGCGATGCATTTTGACAAAATTGATGTCCAGCTGGTAAAGTGCCAGGGCGTGGTGAGGAATAACTGAAAACAACTTCGCCCCCAGGAACACAGGTGGGGCAGCCTGTGGCCCCCCCCGCGCGAGGGCGCCCGCGGGCCGCGCCCGCCGCCGCAGTGACTGGGGCCGCCCCGTCCTGTGTAATCTCGCTTTGACCCAATCCGAGCAGGCCGTCGCAATTTTGTTCCCAGTTGAGGTCGCTGGCGACTCGCGCTGCGTGACCGCGATGTCCAAGTGATTGGAAGTAGTCAAGTGCTGTAGCGAACCAGCGACGCTCAAAGCATTTTGGAGCCATATGCCGAGACAAACGTAGCCTTCGTGGTGCGCATCCCCACCGTGCGACGATGAATACGCGGGTGCCGATGTATGGTAATTTTGCCGAGCGAGCGTTTCCAAAGTGCCGCGCGTCCGCCTCGATTCGCTCTGCGAAGCGTAGAAGGTGGGGGAGGTTCCGAGCAGGCAAGTCCCCATCCCCTGGTGTTGCAGAGACTGATCAACCACCTCGGTCGAATATCTGGTACCCTGATTTCTTGGAGAAGTCTTGACACCCACAGCATCTGGAGCATTATCGAGCACTTCCAATATGCGGGGGCCATGGGCCCGCGCGCCGTTCTGAGCGCAGTTGCGAGGAGCTGGAGACCAGCCCATGATGGGATCATTGGCTGTAGCGACGCGTTGACCTCAGGCGGTTCGCTGGCCCGCCTCGGCAGCGGCAGGTTCGAAGTCCAGCGTCGAGCGCCTCGATCAGCGAGGTGATTTTGAGAAGCACGCGTGCGCGCCAGGGCCGAATGCGAAGACCTTCTCGCAGACGGTATGCACAGCGAGCCCTGCCCTTGTGCGTCGGACTCTGGTGTTATCGAACCCTCTTCGTCGATTTTGCCACAGGTCGATGGCGCGGTTTGCGACTCCGGACTTGATGTCCAGGACTTGGATTATGCATTCGGGCCCGAGGGGGAGGGGGGGCCCTGGGCTAACGAGTTGTGTCTTGCCCTGTCGGAGCTGCAGCTAACTCGGGGAAGTCGGGCCCATGGAGGAGCTCAGTCAGACAGCAAGGGGGGCGCTGCAGAGTCCGCCGCAGCTATGCGCCCAAGGATCGTCGGGCCTCTGGGGGGTGAGATAGCAGCCCCACCCCTGCTGGTGCTGCTTCTTCTCCTGCCCATTTCCCGCCCTTCTACGTGCCCTCGTTCTCGCGGGTGGGCGCGCTGGCTCGAACTCCTCGGCGTTCTCTTGCTGCTCGCGAAGTCTGGCCTCCTATCAGACTGTCGCTTGCTTTTGCTGCTGGCGGCCCGCGCGTTCCACGGGCGCTGGGCGTTTTCGCTGGATGGGTCGAGAAGGCGGAGCGCGCGGCATTCGACAGTCGCGACCTCAAGTCTCCCCGCTTGCGAGCTCAAGGTTGCGGCAGTCATGCAGGCTGATCGCGTCGGATAGCGACCGCTGAAGGGCGGCATGCCCACGCGACGGTCTCGCGCACGCAAAGTGGCGCAGCGGGCCTCTGGCATCGCCGTCGTCAGACTGGCGCTGCTCAACTTGCTCATCTGTCAGCGACAGTTGCTCGACTGGCAGACCGACTGCTGGATGGGGCGGGCGCAGGTAGTTTGGGCGCGTTCTTGAATGATGCGCGAAGGCTGGCCGACCTAGACACCGATCGACTCGCAAGTTTGGGATGGTGTGTGTGTGTGTGCGTGTGTGTGTGTGTGTGTGTGTGTGTGTGTGTGTGTGTGTGTGTGTGTGTGTGTGTGTGTGTGTGTGTGTGTGTGTGTGTGGGGGGGGGGGGGGGGGGGGGGGTGTGGGTGTGTGTGTGCGTGGGTGGGTGGGGGCCTCCGTCTCGGGCGCCCGAGAGGGCGCGCCAAGGCAGCAGCTGGTTATGCGTGGCTGACAGCAATGGTTTTCGCGCATAGACGCCCGTGGAGTTACTGCAAGAGCAGTGGGGGGTCCTGCGCCTGAGCTCGGCAAGTTGCACGAGATCCCCGAGCATTTTAGTCCTGGCGCATCCCGGAGATACTATCGATCACAAACGTTGAGGAATCTCATGCCAAGTGGCGCCCCAACGTTGCTAGCAGGGAGGTCCTGCGAGCGGATTTGCGCCAGCGCTGAGATCGAGCAGCTCGCCCCTCTCGTCGTCGGTGAAGTTCGCGCGGTCCTGACTCGCATGAAACCCCGGGCTGGCGTCGGCACTAAGATGCCCCCCGTAGATTTCCAGCGCCTTCCAGACGGAGGCGCCCACGCTGCTCGCGACATGTTCGCGCTTTTTGAAGACTAGTTCTCATGGCGCTGGCAAGGTGCATGGCGCAAGGTGCAGACCGAGCGGGGATCGAGCGCAAGAACGGCTGATTGACCAAGCGGAGTCCGACCATTGGGATGCGGCCATCGTGAAGAACAGCGGCTCGCGGGAGGCGTTCATGCGTGCTCTGGAGGACGAAGTGCATCATCATGCGCGGCTTCAGATCCCTCGCGGCCGCATCCTCCGGGGCGTCGCCTCCTTCTGTGGCTCCATCGAATTCGACCCCCCTTCGCCGAATGCGATTTGGCTGAAGCCCCCACTAGTTAATTATTCTTCTTCTGGAGTAGTGTTTGACTCCGCGGGTGCTGGAGCAAGTGGATTCAGTGTCGGAGCCCTTCTGGGTGGCGCGCTCAGTGGCGCTGGGCCCGAGGAGCGGCGCGCCCTTCGGAAAATGCAGCATTGCAGGAGTGTGTTGGCGCCTCTGCGAGGCTCGCGCCTTTCTTGGACAGCGCATCCTGATGGGCGACATGTCTCGGCGAGTGGCTGGATCTAGGCAGCGTGTGAGATCATTCGTGGTCAGCGGTGGCATCGCCGCGGCGAAGGAGTCCAAGCTGCTGCATCTGGGTTTTGCCGAAAGGAGTGCCATCGCATGTTCGCCGCGAAGATGCCGCCGCGGCGGCGCGTGCTTCGCGGCGAAAGGGCAATCGCCTACGCGCAGCGCTTCAGGCGGCGCACCTCGGCGTCGACTTCAGCGGCGGCAAGGGGCGCGGGCGCGCCGCAGCGCGGCGGCGGTCTGTGAGGGCAGGGCGGTCTGGCGCCCGACGCAGGCGCTTCTCGCAGGCTGCTCGCCGTCGGCAGGCCCCGGCCAAGCCCAGGCGCGCGGCGCCGCAGGCAGCGGCAATCTACGGGCACCGCGTGCAAGGTCAATTTGGGTCGGCGATGCCTGCTTAACGACGCCGCCACGGAACTGCAAATGGCCCAGCCAAAAGGGGCAGATGTTTGACCGCTGCATTAATCCTACGTTTGCCAGGCTGCGACCCCGATTGCTTTCCCCTTCGGCAGTGCGCCTCGCAGTGGCTCGCGGCGCGGCCGTCCGAAGTTCGCCCCCATCGGCCCATCGAGCTTGCCAAGCCCAGAGCTGTTGCGCATCAGCGCCCCTTCCCGCGCGGCAGAAGGCCAGGCGCGCCCGCGGGCCCGCGGCCACGGTGATTCTCTATCTGCTTGAAGCTGGGTGGTCGCCGATTTCGCCCGCGGACTGGAATGCGCCAAATGATTGTTCTTCCGACGCACATTTGCGGCTATTCCATAGCAGCGATCTCGAGGCGCTTGTAAGGGCAATCCAATTCTTGGACGAGCTGCAGCGGACATGCGAGATCAAGCAGTGGAGAGGCGCAGCCAATCTGCACTGCAGGGCTAGCCTGGGTAACGGGGCCGACACACAGCCACTACGTCTCGCGATTTCAGATCGCTCGCCAGCTTGCAAGGGGCGACAGTTATCAGAGTTGCTGGTGCCCCTGGCTAGTGGGCGCGTCTGGCCAGAAGTTCGACCTCGGGAAGCTGGTCTTCCCGGTGGTGACATGTGCGAGCGGCGCGGGCTGGGGTCTGACGCGCTTCTGCGCCGCCGATGGGAATGCGGGAAAAATGCGGGGTCTCTGGATATACTGGGGCCAGCGACCCCTTCCCACGTGCAGTTGCTGAATCTGGGGCCTTTCCCATATTTGTGGATGCGCAGTTTATCTCTACTCCTTGGGCCCCCAGATTTTTGGGGGCCACCTGGATGGGTGGGGTCTTGGGCCCTGGGCGTCGGGGCCGAGGCGCGCCCCGACAGCCCCTCATCGTTGCTGGGGGTGCCTTGGGGGGGCACTGCGCCCGCGATCCCCGTCTTAGGCGCGTTGGGTTGGCGATCGCCTCGTTGTCCAGTTTCAATCCCTCGTCTTAAGCTATTGCGAACGCCTTGCGGCCGGTGCCCCCGACCCTCGAGGCTTGGGCTCTCGACGGGAATGGGAGGCAGAGGGCGGGGGACAAATCTTTGGCCGACCAATTGGATCTCGGGCGCTGGTGCGCTGTGGATGGCGGCTTGGGCCGCTTGGGGGTGCTTTGGGAGTCCTTTTTGGGCCTCCTGGGGGCCATTTGTGGTGACCCGAGGGTGTTGTAGGATGTTTTCTGAGATGTTTCGGGGCCCTCCTGGGCCGCTTTGGGGATTTCTTGTGTTGCCGGGGTGCTTTCTTTGGGGCCCCTTGGGCCACTATGGGAGCCTTCTGGATGGTTGTTGACGCCGTTCGGAGAACTGCATCCTGCTGAGGGGGGTGGCGGGTCGTCGGCGTGTGTCTTTTTTCATGGGCCGCCGTGTGTGTTGGTGCGCGCAGGAGCGCGTACCAACACACACGGGGACAATCGTGCGATAGGTGCGCGTTATGAGACAGGTCTCATGACTGGCAGGAGCTTCGTGACGGAGGAGAAGGAGTGGGAGGAGAAAGGTGGGGGCAAGGGAGGAGGAGGAGGAGGACGAGGAGGAGGAGGAGGCAGAGGCAAAGGGCATGGATGGATAAGCTGAAGAGGTGTTGTGACTGGCGCGCTTGAGGAGGAGAGCCCAGGGAGGGATCGCCAGGGAAGGATGGCATTCTGGGTCGGGACCCCCCACCCCACAGACCAGGTACCCCCCCTCCCGGCGGGGAAGGGATCAAAGGGAAGGGGCTTTCCTTCGACGCAACTACGATGTCGTTCAATTTCGTTGTGACTGGCGCGATTGAGGAGGAGAGCCCAAGGAGGGATCGCCAGGGAGGGATGGTATTCTGGGTCGGGACTCCCCCCCACAGGCTCAGGAATCAAAGGGAAGGGGTTTCCCGTCGGCTCAACTACGACGTTGTTCAATTTCGTTGTGACTGGCGCGATTGAGGAGGAGAGCCCAGGGAGGACCCAGGGAAAGGAAAGGAGCGGCGACGGTCGAACCGATCGTTTGGCGATTCGGGGCTCGCTTGGCGGCTCGGAAGCTTCTTGCGGCTTTTCTTGGTCCGCGTTCGAAGCGTTTTGGGTCCCAGGACCCCTTCTGGGTCGGGACCCCCTCCCCCTGGCGGAAAAGGAATCAAAAGGAAGGGGTATCCCTTGTTCAATTTCGTTGTGACTGGCGCGCTTGAGGAGGAGAGCCCAGGGAGGGCCCGGGGAAGGGAAAGGAGTGGCGACGGTTGGACCGATCGTTCGGCGATTCGGGGCCCATGAAGACGAAGGCGACGAACGGAAGAGCGTCCTCCACACGCCGACAGGGTCGGTGGATTCTCTTATGGGGCCCTTCACGGGGCATGCGCGGACCGTGCTTCGGAGGGGGCTGCGACCCTCAGGAATAGCGTAGGAGCTCATATATATATATATATATATATATATATATACCACCGATTGCGACGAGGTCGCGAGAGGGTGGCATGCAGAGCTTTTCACCAGACCAGAGGGTCCAGAGTCTGACATTTGGAGGGAGATCGGCGAACTGCCGGTTTCCAGCGGACGAGCTCCCACGCGCATGGTTGCGATGCAAGTTCCTTCGCGCATGATGGGGGCCGATGATATTCAGCCACGAATGCCATCTGGGCTTGTGCTTGGCAATGCGTGCGTCGACTCCATTGCTGGCGAGGCCGCCGCGTGCGCGCGGGTCTCGCAAGCCTGTCGTGTCAGAGTGCACACCATCGAGCATAGGACCCGTCCGGCTTGGAGGAGGTTGCTGCGTGTCGGTCTTTGATTTCGTACGAGCGTCTCAGCTCTCTGACGATCGGAGCGCCCGTGGCTCTGGCAGAGCCCCTCCCCCTCTCCCCCCCCTTCCTCTGGCTTTTGCCCGCTTCGCGTCCGCCCGCGCCCGGACCGAAAACGGGAGAGCTTGCAGCGTCTGTAAAGGCTTTGTTACCAAGGCTGTGCTGTCCGAGTGGGTAAGGAGTGGTCGCTTCCATCTCCAGCCCGAACGCAGTGAACTTCCCCATTTCCGCGAGGACGGCGTTCACACTTGGCTGGTGGTTGGACGCACCCTTCGCACGCCTCGACATTTCATGAACACCTTGAAGATCTGGTTCTGCAGCACATGTGGGTTCTACGCTCAGGCGCAGCTCAGAGGCCTGGGGGAGCCGTGCAAGTTGCCAGTGTCTAGGGCGAAACGCGAGTACCTCGACAGGATATTCCGCGGCCTGTCTCCGAAGTGCTGAGCGTTTTAAGCTTGGCTATCACTACGTGATGGCGGAATTCCTGCAAGTCCTCGGCGCCCGGGTCCTGGGCGGCGCGGCCCCCCTGTGCCGCCGAGAGGAGCGCCTGACGTGGGGGGACCCTGAGATCTTGACGCGGCAATTTCTTCACAACGGGCGGCGTCGTTCAATTTCGGGCCCCGGGGCCCTCAGAGACCGATCCGGCTCGAATGTTGAAGCAGAAGGATGGGATTTGGGGTCCAGTCGCGGTTTTTTGCGATGTTGAATTTTCGTGCAACGTCGGATCTCAGGGGGGCAGGAGGGGGCAGCAGCCGCGCTGCTCGTCCCCCTCTCGCGAATTGGGCTCCCAATTATTACCAGTTTTTCAGTGCGCGTGTCTAGTGGGGTGGCACCCAAGCCGTCATCGAAACATCGAGGAGGGGCAGCAGGAGGATGGGGGGGGGAGGCAGGAGGCGGAGGAGGAGGAGGAGGAGGAGGAGGAGGAGGAGCGGTGGCAGAAAGAGCGGAGTGGGGAGGGCGAGGGGCGGGGGGGGAGGAGGCGGAAGGAGGGACGAGGAGGAGGGAAGAGGAGGAGGGAACCAGGGCCGTGACCCCAACGCCCACGGGTCCCAATTGGTAACGGAGGAGGGGGAGGAGGGGGAGGAGGAGGAGGAGAAGGAGGAGGAGGAGGAGGAGGACCAGTGTAAAACCAAGAGTCATCAACGATGTTGGAATTCACCCTCCATCCAAGCTTCCTCTTCATCATGGGCCCCCACAACGGTTCATTCCCATTGAGGGAGCTGCCTCGTTGGAAGACAACCGTTTGAAGATCCTGAAGCATGCCAAAACATTGTTCTCGGGATTTCAACGTCACGTATCAACCTGACTGCTGCGTCTTGACGATCCGGAATCGTGCCAGAGCGCCATTTTTGCGACTTCAATACCGCGAATCAACATATCTGTTGCACCCGCATAAGCCTGAAACCTTCCAAAACACCATTTCTGGTACGCTGCTCATGGGAATCCGCGAAACTGTGGCAACGTTTTAAAACGAAAGTGCGCGGTGATAAGGCGAGAGCCACATTTTGAAAAGGAACCGCTCTCAATCCGTAAAACTCTTGCAGATGTTGAAAAAGAATGTGCGCGGCGCTATGGCGAGAGCCACATTTCGAACAGGAACCGCCCTCAATCTGTGAAACTCTTCGAATGTGCGCGGCGCTGAGGCGAGAGCCACATTTTGAAAACCACCCGCCCTCAGTACGTGAAACTTTGGCAAAATTGTAAAACCAAAGTGCGCGGCGCTAAGGCGAGAGCCACATTTTGAAAACCATCCGCCCTCAATCCGTGAAATTCTTGCAAATTTTGAAAACGAACTTGCGCGGCGCTAAGGCGAGAGCCACATTTTGAAAACCACCCGCCCTCCATCTGTGAAGCTGTTGTCACTTCTGAAGCTTCAGTGCCAGAACTGGTGGGGAAGTCTCAGGCGAAACGCCCAGCCCGCCCTAAAAACTGGCCTCGGGGTACGACAGGGAGGAGTTATCTATAAGGAGAAGGGATGGGGGAGGACGACGACGACGAGGAGGAGGAGGAGGAGGACGAGGACGAGGACGAGGACGAGGAGGAAGAGGAAGAGGAGGAGGAGGAGGAGGAAGAGGAGGAGGAGGGAGGAGGCTGATCAGGAGGAGGAGGAGGAGGAAGAGGAGGAGGAGGAGGACGACGACGACGAAGAGGAAGAGGGACAGGAACAGGAAGAGGAGGAGGAGGAGGAGGAGGAGGAGGAGGAGGAGGAAGAGGAGGTGCTGGAGGAGGAGAGGGAGGGCCCTCCGTGTCCTTTCCTCCGCAGGCGTTTTGTTTGGTGCCCCTCCGACGGAGCCCGCCGCGGCGCGCCGCGGAACCCGCGCCGCAGACCAGCCTGGCGCAGATGGCGTGCCCAGAGGTGGGCCCCCGAGGCGGGCCCGGGGGAGCCCTCCGCGCATCCGGGTGGCGCACCTGGGGGCGGACCTGGGCGGCGTGCAGGACTTGGCTCAATGATCCTCAGGGCGTGTGTTTCGGCGGCCGGCCCTGGGGGGGAAGTGAGAGGGGGCGGGCCTTCTCAGAAGGCTCGGAAGCCCCGCCCCGGCCTTCAAGGCTTTCCCCGAAGAGACAAGACGTCTTCAAGGCTTTCCCCGAAGAGACCGAAATCTGTTCGGAAGGCCTGAGGGCTTCCGAGAAGCCCCGTCGCCTTCTGAGAGGGCCTTCTCCTTCTCACTTCCCCCCAGGCTCGCCGCCGAATTTGGTACCTGGGTCACAACTCGGTCCACCGGCGGCCCTTCGGAACGAACCGGGCACACCCAGAACGCGCTCGCCGAGGCGCAGCTGCTGGCAAGCATCCCGAGGCTGGAAAACCGCCGAGAAACGACAAAAACTGTCGAAAACCTCGAACCTCGAGCCGCTGAATGTTCGCCCAGTGTGTGTTTGCCTCGCGCAGCTCCGCCGATGGCACGCCGCCCGTCTCCGCCCTCATCACACCGCTTCCGCGTCGTGCGGAAGGGCCTCGGTGGATAGACGCGCGCCTATTAGGCGCGCGTCGGCGTGAGCACACGTTCTGAGAATCGTCGATTGGCGGCGCGCACCGAGGGGGGTGGCGCAGCCCTGTTGAGCTCCTCCTCCTCCTCCTCCTCCTCCTCCTCCTCCTCCTCCTCCTCCTCATCCCATTCCTCTTCGTCGTCCTCCTACTCTTGCTCCTCCTCTTCTTCCTCTCCTTCCTCGTCGTTGTCGTCGTCGTCTTCCTCCTCCTCCTCCTCCTCCTCCTCCTCCTCCTCCTCCTCCTCCTCCTCCCCCTCGCCCTCCCCCTCCCCCATTCCTCCGTGGTGTGTCTTTCCTGCGCAATGTCGATCATTTGCCCCCACCCCAAGATGTCAGTTTTGCGCAGCCGTCGCCATCCCACAGGGGTTATCAACACACCTGGGATGCTGGCTCTGCAAGCGCGCATCTATGCCGGCAAGGCGGCCTGCAGAGCCGCCTCCCGCTCATCCACCTAAGCTGGTGTTGCACGACTGTGTGCACCATGGTCATTCATGCCCTCACGGGATCGCTGATGAAACTCCTCCTCCTCCTCCTCCTCCTCCTCCTCCTCATCATCATCATCATCATCATCATCATCATCATCATCATTCTTATCCTCATCCTCCTCATCCTCATCCTCCTCCTCCTCCTCCTCCTCCTCCTCCTCCTCCTCGCGGGGGGGGGGACGGGGTCGTTCGCAAGCTCCTCGGGTCTCTCACCTCCCAGTTCCCTCCTAGTGCACATGCGGCTGAGCTCCAGGCCTTCTGCCTCGGGGCTGAATGCTCAGACGGGTCGCCTGCCTACATTGGTGACAACGCAGCAGTGCTAGCTGCCAGAGCGAGCGGGTGCGTGTGCACCACTAGTCGTTTGACGTTGGGCACTGGCGCCGAGTCAGGCGCGGAGACCTCGCATATAGCGCGGGTCTCAAGATCAAGTCCCACCAGGACGTCCCAGCCGCCCCTCAGAGCGAGGGTGAGTGGCGGGTCGTTCTCAACGCGTGGGCCGACGACGCGGCCAAGCAGGTGCTCAATGTGTGGCCCAGGCATGCCCAAGACGAGGTGCGCTGGGAGGACGCGTCCGCCGAGGTGCGCCGTGGCCTGTTGAACCTGGGGCGGGTGCTGGCGAGTGGGTCAGCTCCCAAGGTGGAATGGGCCCACCTGCCCCCGTGTGCTTCTCCCCCGTCGGTGGTCAGACCGTGCTTTCTCCAGCACGAGCTGCACGAGGTGGCCGACGGCCGTTGGCGGTGCGTTCATTGCTTGCACGGGTTTCGGAGCTGGAAGGTTGGGATGGCCTCCGAGTGCGGGCGCGAGGCGCCCCCGAGCTGGCGACGGCTGCGGCAGCACGCAGCCTCGCACGTTCTGCGGGGCGCGATCATCGGGCCCAGTGGCACGCATACTGAGCAAGGCGACTTCCTGCTGTACTGTGTCCAGTGTGCGAGGTACGCGCAGCTTCTGCCGAGCGGGCTGGCAGAATCCTGCCCAGCCCGCCAGCCAGGTTTCGTGATGGCCAAGATGGTCAAGGAGGCGGAGCGAGGCAAGCACCCGCGCACAGGACGCGCAGAGGTGGTTCTGGAGAGCTGGGCTCTCGCAGAGTTGGGTTTCCTCACCCGAGGGGTTGAGGCTCGTGCATAGTGCACTCTCTGCAGCTGGCATGCTCGGCGTCCACAGAGGGGGCACAAACAATCTCCTCCTCTCGCAGACCGCGGTCAACAGCGCTCAGTCTATGCATCCATGCAGAAGTTTGGCAAGTGGATGACCGAGCAGTCGTCGCTCGGCCCGCTCCATCGCAGTCTACGTCAAGAGGCAATGATCAAGCATGAGATTGAAGTCGGAGACGACATTTTGTTCCAGCCGCTTGATCTTGTCGATCACAAGGCTCTGAAGTGGCGGCAGAAGTGGGCACCGTCTTTGTCCACGGAGGCTGCCATTCATGAGGCGTTTCGGCAAGGGCGCGAACGTGCAGAACTCGAGCCTCTACCTCCCATCACAGGCGCTGATGTCAGGGAGGCAGCCAGGCGCAGGCCTGCGCGAGCGGGACAAGGATGCGATCGCATGTCACCCATTGACTTCGAGCGCTTGCCTCTGACGGCGCTGGACGAGCTGGCAGATCTGTACATGATGATCGAAGCTGAGCTTGTCTGGCCACGCCAGATCATGATTACCCTCGGTCGCCTTCTGCCGAAGAAGACAGAAGGCGACCGAATCATAGGTCTTCTTTCTATGTTCAGCAGATTGTGGTCGCTCATCAGAGAACCAGTAGTTCGACAGTGGTCGGACTCCTCGGCCCCCTACTGGGACGCTGCAGTGAAGGGCAACGCGGCTCTCCGCGAAGCCTTCGTTCGCACCCTGGAGGAGGAGGTCGGGCATCAACTAGGTGTGGTTTCTGGAGCTGGATTTTAAGATATCGACGGATTTTATGACAATATTGTGTGGGAGCTGCTTATACCCAAGGGCTTGCAACTAGGATTTCCAGCAGCCATCTTGTGCCTGGAGGTGCTGCAATGTATGGCGCCTCGAGCCCTGGGACAGTGCAGCTCGTGGGCCCTCCCCATCGTACCCACGAGGTCGGTGGTCCAGGGCCTCCGGTCAGGCACACGGTTTGGAAGGATCATGGTGTATTTCGTACTCGACAGGATCTGCTCAGCTCACCCTCGGATGGGTCACCGCATATGGGTGGACGACCTGGCTCAACGTGCAGTTGGCTCTCGCGACAGCGTACGGCAACAACTTGTCGCCAGCCTCCGCGACACGTGCAAGGGCCTTCGAGAGATGAAGCTTCAGGTGGCATCCAAGTCAGTCGTGGTGTGCGCTCACCATTCAGATGCTCTTCAGGTGTGCCGCACTCTTCGAATTGCGGGTTTCCAAGTGCGAGCACAACGTACCGCAGGCTTCCTTGGCACTGACCTAGGAGGGGGCGGTCGTCATGCTCGGGCTACGAGACGCAGAAGAGCGGACAAGCATCGACTGATGAACACCAAGGTACGCAAGTTCGCTCGTGCAGGGCGACGATATGCCATCACATCGAAGCTGGAGCGTCTCGGAGCTCAGGCGGCTGGGCTATACGGACACCAGATTCACGGCACGTACGGTGTTTATCTACGCCAGGCTCGTCAGCGGCTAGGCGCTGTGGTGGCGGCCCCGTCCAAGGGTCGCTGTCTCACCACGGTCCTGGCACTACGAGCTCCGCATGACCCAGCACTCAAACTCCCAGAAGAGATGTTACGACAATGGTTTCGAGTTTGGCAGGAGGAGCCAGGTCTTAGACGTGGAGTTTGCCGCGCGTGGAACCCCCTGGTGGAGAAGCTTCGTGCCATCCCATCAGGTCAGCGCACGCGGCACATACGTGGACCTCTTTCTGCTGCCATCACCTTGCTGTTGAATAACGGATGGGATCCAAGGTCAGCTATCGAATGGTTCAAGCCTGCTGCCGACCCACAGGACGAGTCCATCGAATGGCATTTCCCCGACTCAGCGTGGACGGGATGGCCTGACGTCGATGACCCTGGCCACCTCATCCGCGACGTGCAGAATTCTATCCGTTCGTCTCTGTGGGAGCAGGCATCTCGACACTTTTGTGGCGGTGGCATGGAAGGCGGCATCGACTTCACATCCTTACGACAGCTGTACTCACAACTGCAGTCGGTCGACCGTGGGGCTCGGCTTGCAGAACTTCTGGTCACTATCGCAGCTGGAGGATACTGGACTCGGTCTCGCCGCGGGGAGTTCCTTGCGACCAAGGGCAGGCCCTTCGACACGAAGTGCCCACGGTGCGGCGAGGCTCCAGAGACCCCATTCCATCGCATGTGGAGCTGCAGTCACAATGTTGAAGCTGCAGCATACAAGTGTTCAGAATGTTTGGTGGGGGAGGCCTATTCCAGCTGGGAGTCCATGGAATGCTTCTGGCTCCGCGGGCTTCTCCCATCCCATCTTGTTCAGGTTTCGCCTCCGTCGCAGGAGGAGCACTGGCAGGCATCAGGAGAGATTATTGTGACAGGGACGTTCGGACACGGCTCGCGGGACGCCCCGATCTTTCTGTTCGGAGATGCCAGCGGAGGTGTTTTATCGGGGCACACAAGGTATCGCCGCGTAGGCGTTTCAGTTGCTTGTATCAGTTCTTTCGAACCCCTCGAGATCGACAGCTCGATGTCTGGAGGGCTGGCAGGAGAACGGCAGTCCGTGTCTCGTGGAGAACTTCGGGCCCTTCTCTCGGCTGCTGAACATTCGTCGGGCAGAGTGGTGTACACGACGGACAATGAATATGTAGCTGAAGGATGGGCCTCGAAATTGTATCGTGAGCCCTCAGGACCAGATGCCGATCTCTGGCATCGTATCGGTGATGTTTTCGATTCCTCCAGGGACCCTGCCTCGTTTGTGGTGTTGTTCGTCAACTCACATTTGGAGGCCCGTGAAGCTGTATCTGGGAAATTTCCTATGTGGATGATCTTGGGTAATGCTGTGGCTGATATTTTGGCAGGGTCCGCCGCCAGTCGTGTGCAGGTTAGCGCAGAGGAGAGAGTGCGTGCTGAGCAGTGGGGGCAGAGGGTTCTACTCGTACGGCTTCGCCTACTCCGCGCCACGCTCGACACCATCGTCGCAGAGAAACGTCAGGAGCCTCTCGGGAAGAAACAACGTGAGCCTCCTCCTCCCCCTCCTCCTGCCCTTTCTGCGATTCAGACTTTCACTACCTCCCATCAGTTTGATGAGACTGGTCGTAAGTGTAGTAGGTGCTGCAGCTCCGCTGCCATAGCTAGGCTTCCTGTTTGGAGGAGTACCCCGTGTTTTCATCCTGTCCACGTGCACGATGATTTTTTTCAGGGTCCCGTCTGGAGTCAGGTTGCACCTAGCGGGGGGGTGGGCTGATCCCTCGCACCAACTCACCCTGCATGGCACTCTGAAGCTCTGGTTCTGTAGTCGGTGCGGGTGCTTTGCCAGTCAGATGTTGAAGGGTCTGGGACAACCATGTCTCAAGACCACGAATTCCGCCAGGTCCGAGTATTTATCTCGTATCGCCGCTGGTCAGTGGCCGAAGGTCCAGAGCAAGGCCAAGCAGGCGGGGCGGGTTTCGTAAGTCATCGGATGTCGCTTCGCGATTGGGGTCACTCACTCACTCCTCCTCCTCCTCCTCCTCCTCCTCCTCCCTCTCCTCCTCCCTCTTGAGATCCGGAGCCTCCCAGATGGGGCCCTTTGGGGGGCAGGCTGGTCCTGTGGCTCTTCGCCCGTTCCTGGGCTCTGGATACTCCCCCGGCTCCTGCACCGTCAACACACAAACGGCTCGGCACGGATAGTTGATCCTGGGGGAGGGCCCCAGGGTCCAGGACTTGTTGCCCTCAGGACCTGTCTCCTTCATGCCAAGGGGAGAGGGCCTGGGCCCGAGCAGATGAGGTCGGAGGATCGCGCCGCATCGCCGATGCATCCGCGATGCGGATCGATGTGGAGAGCCCGATTTTCTCTACGCCGACGTCGCCGATGCAGTGTTGACGTCGCCGACGCATCACCGATGCATCAGCGATGCATCGGCGATCCTCCGACCCCCTCTAACCAAGTGGGGTGGTGCGATGGCAGGGGTCGCCTTCGCAAGCAGGTGGGTGGGGGGACTTCTGAGAAGGCAGGGGCACCGTTGGGATGCCTTCCTGGCATCTGAGAAGCCTTCTCAGAAGCCCCCCAGGCCCTTCGAAGAATCCCCACTGCCTTCTGAGAAGCCCCCCCCCTCCGCGCCTCCTTGAGAAGGCCGTCCCCCTCGCCGAACCCCCCCCCCTTGGTGCGCGCCGCCAAGAGGACCTGGAGGACCACCCTGCGACACTGGGGAGCACCCGGCGACCAGGACGGGGCGACGAGGTCTATGCACGTCCACCACCCCTGGCCAGGCCCATCTTAGTTCCAGGAGCGGTATATTTGCGCCTCCCTGACTTGGCCGGGGAGGCATATACACCGACACTGGGCCCAGCATGGGCCTCGCGAGTGGCGTTGGTGGAGACATTACCCAGACATGCTCCGACGATATGCATGGATGTTTCAGTGCGCGGTCCCAGAGGTCCCCCGGGCCAGCTGTTCGTCCCGGATCCCTGTTTGATGGCTCCGGTGCCCGATGGCTGGGCCCCAGAGGCCGAAACTGAGGCAAGACTCGGAGGACGCGTAATGGGGGGCCATACATGGGGGTGGCAGCGATGGCTGCCGAAAAGGACACTTAGAGGGGCCCTGTCGGGCCCAGAAGAGGGCCTTTAGGACCCCCAAAGGGTACCTTTCTTCCCCTCCCTATGTAATTTTCGCCCCCCATTAGCTCGTGCCCAACGCAGGCCGAATCCGAGGCAAAAGACGCCGGGAGAGAACCAAATCCCATCGTCGAAGGTCTTGGGTACATCGAGCGCGTCGCCCGACAGGAGGGCACGGGGCGGAGCTGGATCGCGGGCCCGGAGGAGCACGGCTGGGCGCCGAGGGCCTCGCCGAGGGGCTCCCACGTGGTGCACAGCGCGGCCAGCGTGCAGGACATGGACCGCCAGACGGAGCTGAGTCCGAGGGGCACGGGCCGTCGCTTCCTGCTGTCCATGGAGTTCCAGGCATTCATGACCGTCGTCATCCTCGTGGACATTGGTGCGTTCGTGGTCGAGGAGGTCAGGGCGAGGCGAGGTCAAGAAGTCCCCACGTGGGCCCTCTGCATCAACACTGCCACTCTGGTCCTATACTCTATGGAAATCAGTGGCAAGATGATCTGTTTCGGTCTCCGCGGCTTCTTCCGAGATCTATGGAATGTCTTCGACTTGATCATCGTGGTCCTCCTCCTCCTCCTCCGCCTCCTCCGCCTCCACCTCCTCCGCCTCCTCCGCCTCCTCCTCCCTGTGCGCGCTGCCGCGCACGTGCGGGATCATAGAGGAGGAAGGGAGGGAGGGCTGGAGGGGAGCGAGGGCTAGGACTAGGACGGTGACCTGCCTCCAAAGAGGCAGGTCCAAAAACAAAAAAGAAAAATGGCAAGGAAAGGGGGCGGCTCACCACTGGCAGGCCCCACAGCAGCAGAGACGAGAAATTGCATATCACAATACCGTAGCACAAATGTGGATGACTGCTGCCATCCGCTGCTGCATTCTTCATCTCACTTTCTGGCGTAACTCCAGGCCTAGCTGGCCATCCTTGGTCGACGCCAGAGTATCGCACACTATGCTGGGAGACCAGCTCGCATCCCATCGGAGCCCATCTTGGGACAAAACGCGGCCTGCTTTGGCGAAAAGGCAGGGACTCCACAGCCAGAGTCAACAGGTCAGGGAACGAGATGGGGGGCCAACGCAAGGCCAGGATCAACAGCCGCAGGATTATCCAACTCCTCATACGGTCGGACCGAGGTATAAGATCGAGGTCGGTTCGGGGAGGGTGCCCTGATGTTCTTCGTCTTTGTTGAATGCTTTTGTGCATCCTAGGGAGGATGCCCTCGACTGTTCTTCAGGTTGGGCCAGCGGAGGGTCTCGTGTTCTTGAGGGATGCTCTTCTGTCCTCTGTCCGACCGTACAGGCACAACCGCACTGGTGGCACTGGACCTGTGGACCGATTTGCCTTAGGGTTCAGTCCTTTCATCAACTTGCCAAGTCTGTACTTGGCAGTGGTGAATTCTGGGCGCCGGCGCGTAAAGCATGCAGGCGGCCGAAATTTGTGGACGAGTGGGGCCCACACAGCTTGCAGAGCACAAGCCCACCAGTACGCAAAACTATGTGGCCGAACCCGTGGGGAGCCAGACACGGTTTACGTGAAATTGTTGGAGCCCGAGCATGCAAGGCACCGAAAATGCTGCTTAGCCTGATCCCATGCCAACTTGTGTGGGACCCCCGTGGGCGGCACCACAACGGAGGTAGGTTTCGAAGGGAGCGGGGGAGACCACCCATGGGAGGGGAGCGAGGAGAAGGGAGGGGGGAGGAAGTATGAAGGAGGGAGAGGAAGCAGGGGGAGGACTGGCAGTGTGAAGGGGGGTCTCGGAGCTACGGATACTCGCTTGCTCGGGTGAGAGTTTTTGGGCGGATTCGTTCTACTGGTTTCGTGGGTCATCGATTTTTCGATCGGGGCTTTCGGTTTCCGAAGGTGGTCAGGGACCAGGAAGGAGGGAGGGAGGGAGACGGAGGAGTGATGGGAGGCGAAGGAGGGCCCTCCTTGTTCGCTTCCTCCTCCAGGTCGTCTCCGCCGCGTACATTGGCCCAGGGCCCGGCGGCGAACTCGTCGCCGCCAGGATGACCAAAGTCGTCTTCAGGTCCTCCTCCTCCTCCTCCTGTTCCTCCGTGTCCTTCCCACTCCCCGTCGGTATGGTCTCCACGCGGTGGACTGACACTTCCATTCTCATTTGCTTCCCAGGTTTGTCAGGGGCTGGCTGTTCACAATGCGAATCGTGCTTCGCCTCAGGCCGCTGAGCCAGGCGGCCAAGCACAAGGTGTCGACAAACAAGATGAGGTACGTCGATGTGGATAACAACTTCGATCTGGATCTCACCTATCCGGTGGCCTTCGGATCATCCCGCTGCCCAGCCTGGCTGGTGGGCCAAAGTTCTCTTGATGCCTCTCGGGGGCAACTTGGAGGCGCCTCCGGATGGCCTCCTGGAGGCCTCTTGGGGCCTCCTGGGCGCCTCTGGGGGCCTCCTGGAGCCCTCTTGTGGCTCTCTTGGTTGTCTCAGGGGGCCATCCTGGCATTGAGCGCTCCTGAAGCCAGTTCGGGTTCCCCCCTCCTGGGCCGGAAAACTCTGAAAAGTAGGAAAGGCACAGATAGTCGTTGACATCCATGAACGGCACGCGAGAAGACCCGAGAGCACCCAGAAGCGCCCGAACACCCAGGCATTGCGCCTCTTATTTGTTTGTTTGGAATCGTGCTCGCACCAGAGACCTCGAAGGGACCTGAGGACACTACGGCACTGTGGCGGATATAGATCGCGATTTAATAGCCATGGGAGTGCCGGCCGTTGGGTTCCTCAACATAGGCACGTTCGCGCGGAACAATTTGAGCGAGGTGGCCCGCTTCTTCGAGGTCAACCACAGAGGGCATTTCAGAGTCTACAACGCTTGCCCGGAGATGCCATACCCCGAGGAGCCTTTCATTCGGGTCGGAGGTAGCATGTCGTGCTTCCGAATCCAGGACCACAGTCCGCCCCGCATGGAGCAATTCATCACATTCCTTGCCGACGCGCGCGAGTTCCGCAGCAGATCAGAGGACAATTCGGCGGCGAGCGAGGCGGGGAAGTGAGAAAGAGAAGGTTTTCTCAGAAGGCGGCGGGACTTATCAGAAGCCCTCGCGCCTTCTGAGAGGTTTTTGTCTGTCTTCGGCGGAAGGCTTAAACACTTCTCGGAAGACCGGGGAACTTCTGAGCCTTCTGAGAAGGCCTGCACCTTCTCACTTCCCCCCGGGCGCGCCGCCGAACAATATCATCACGGTGCATTGCAAGGCGGGTAAGGGGCGTACGGGTTCTTTGTGTTGCGCTTGGTTGCTTTACGCCAAGAGGCAGAAGACGGTGGACAAGGCTCTCAAGATGTTCGCGCAGAGGAGAACCGACACGCGCATCGGCAAGAAGCTGCGCGGTGTGGAGACACCGTCACAGGTCAGGTACGTGAACCAGGTGTTCCAGCATTTGCAGAGGACGGATGCATGGTTTCACAGCCCAGCGCCGCCACCACCAGTCCCCACCCCTACAGCCACCTTGCATAGGCTGAGAATAGATAGAAACTTCTTCGCGCATCCAGAGAAGGTAACAGGCTTGCGCGTGTTGGTTCAGTGCTTCGAGGACTGCAGCAATTTGACGGATCCAGTGTTGGAGACGGAGGCGTTCGCTCCCAGCGAGTTGAGTGTGAGGCTGAACGACGTCGTTGTCAGAGGAGACGTCCGCATCTCCCTGTTCGAAGACGATGGGGAGGCTTTCAGTGCCCGTGAGGCGATGCTGGCGGCGCCCGACAATTTCATGCAGGCCAGGAGCCTCTTGGCGTCCTTCTGCTTCCACACTGGCTTCATGTACAGCAACGAGGAGGCGCCGCTGAGTTCCGACTTGTCCTGCGGACGCACGTTCACGGTCGACGTTTCGCAGATGGACAAGGCTCACAAGAAGATTAAGACCGATAAGCGCGACGGGCGTTTCAATAAAGGCGCTACGATGGACCTCGGCTTCTCTGGTGGCTATGTCCCCCCGCATGAGACAGGCAGGTGCGACGCCGCTTTAGTAGCTACTGAGGCGCGCAGTCTGCAGGCAGGTGCGCGGGAGAGCTCCTTCAGTTCTTTGTCCTCTGCCGCCTCCTCCTCCGCCCCCTCCTCCTCCTCCCCACCCCCCTCCACCCAGAATCATGACAGAGCGGTGTCCATTGAGCTAGCCCCGGTTTCGGCAAGAAAAAAACTCAGAAGGGCAGGGCAGGTGCGGAACGGAGCAGGAGGGTTGTCTCCCTCCTCACTGTCCTAGGGGCCCCGCGTGGGTCCCCACCTCCAACGCGGTGGGATCTCTTGGCCTTTGGGCCTTTGGGATGTCTCCCCCCTCCCCTATCTCCCCCTTTCCTCGCCGAAGCGACGGTCGGATGCTTCTTGCGGTCTTTTCGGAGCGAGCCTCCGTGGAGCAGTTTTGAGGCAGGAGGAGGAGGAGGAGGCAGAGGAGGAGCAGGAGGAGGAGGAGGAGGAGGAGCAGGAAGAGGGGGAGCACCGGGGGAGGAGGAGGAGGAGGAGGAGGAGGTGGAGGAGGAGGAGGAGGCGCTGTGGTATTGTGGGGTCTTTTGGAAACAGCTTTTCATGGTTTCGGGGGCGCTCGAGGGGGAAACGTAACTGGGCGGCGTCCTTTGGCCGTCTGGGGGCCCCCTTTGGTCGTCCTCAGGCGTTCTTGGGATGTCTCGTGGGGTTTGGGCCGTCTAGGGGCGCTCTTGCGGATCCGTCGTGGCGACCCCCTCTCTTCCAGCGCATCTACAGAGGGCCCCTCTGTACAAGCTGCATACGGGGGATGCGAATCTGACCCCCCCCCCTCCCCCCCCGCCGGGGAAGGGACAGAGGGAAGGGGCTTCCCTTTGACGTGACTACGACGTGGGTCGATTTCCCTCAATCCCCGGACTCCTCCCCCCATCGACGGGAGAGTGCTCTCTCACCCCCGACGGGGAAGGATAAACAGAAAAGGCGTCCCGTCGACGGGACCAGACAGACACCCCACACACGCCGACAGGGTCGGGAGATTTGTGCTCAGAGGAAACAGGATCGCGCGCGCGCGCCCTCTCTTCGCCCAGGTCGGACGCCCCCGCGTATCACAACATAGTCACGAACCATATTATCTCAAGGAATCGCCATGGTTTCAAAAGCGTCTTCTCCGATATTCAACCTGGGACCACGACGAACAGATGACCTACCAGAAAAATGATTACAGAAGCCTATCAATCGGATCAAGATAAGGCCCGAATCCATGATATTGGCAAAATGCTTGGAGGCCATTTTGGAGCATCGAAGATTCTCTCGGAGCCATCTTGGGCCAATAAGGACCTGACACATCGCGAGGGAAGCCGAGAAAAACTGGAAGGGGGGTTTGGGATGAGAGAAAACGAACACCGTTAGGCCACCTACTCAAAGACGGTTGTGGGTTCTATATAGCCAAAGCGGATGAACTTATTTCGAATTCTTTACGCTTCGCGTATCCCCACCAGCCCATCTCACAACAGCAACTCTTGCGAAGCGTGCCGACAGTTGTGTTGTTCAGGCGTGTGTCCGCTTGGCCCCGCATATCTCCCCTGTTCCTCCTTCTTCCCGCTTCCTTGTATATCCTCCTTGTGGGGGCAGCGGGAGAAGGACGACGCGGAAGAGGAGGGAGAGAAAGCGGTGGGAGGCAAGAGGGACTCAGCGGAGAGGACGATCTCAGCGATGATCTGAACAACGACGACGCACCCGACGACGACGACGATGTCGACCGCAACGACGACGACCACAACCGCGACGACGACGACGACGACGACGTCGACGACGACAACGACGACGAAGGCGGCGGTGCGGGCCCTCGTTGTGTGAGTCCTTCGGCCCCGTCGTCCTTGTGTGAGTCTTTCGGGACCCTATTCCTGGTGTGAGTCGCTCGGTATCCTCGTCGTGAGAGTCGTTCGGGCCCCTCCTCCTGGTGTGAGTCGTTCGGGTTCCTCGTGTTGTGAGTCGTTCGGGCTGCTCGTGGTGTGAGTCGTTCGGGCGCGTCGCCCTGGTGTGAGTCGTTCGGGCCCCTCGTCCTGGTGTGAGTCGTTCGGGCTCTTCGTGGTGTGAGTCGTTCGGGCCTCTCGTCCTGATGTGAGTCGGTCGGGCTTCTCGTGGTGTGAGGCGTTTGGGCACCTCGTCCGCGTGCGAGTCGTTCGGGCCCTTCGTAGTAGGAGTCGTAGTCGTCGTCGAGTCCAGCGATCTCCCCGACCAGCGTCGTCGTTGTTGCCATTCTGGCTAACAGTATTTCAGTGTGGCTGTGAGCTTCGCTCCGCCTACCAGGGATCCACGATCTTCAGGCTATACTAGTATACAAAGCTGCCAGGCTCAAGTTTTAGATTTCTTCAAGGCTTACCACAGGGTTTCTATGTGTACAAAAGCTGACAATGGACACTAGAGTCCGTTGACGATCCTGCAGTCGCACGTTTCAGCAATGTCATGTTGTCTTGGTTGTTTTGTGTTCTGTTGAATCATTTGCGGTCCTGTCTCAAGTTTTGTCTTCGAGTGAGTATTCCCCGACGACGACGACGACGACGACGACAACCCTGCCTCTCGCTCCGGGCGGTCGTCTTGGCTGCTGGCAGCTGGGCGGCTCCGGGCGGCGTCGGGCCTCCGCTGACCGATTACTAGATGCATATATGTATATCTTGTACATGTATGGTGTGTCGACGTATGTATATATGTATGTATGTATGTATATATATATATATATGTATATGTATATGTATATATATAACACGGACGCAGTTGAGAGTCGATGGGGGGAGGGGGCCTGGCCCGCGGCCTAGGGCGGGGCCCGAGACTCTGGGACAGGACCCAGGGCCTCATCATCGTAGGATGCTCATCATTCTCATCATCGCTATGATGGTGGGGGAGGAGGAGGACAGCTACCAACTGCGCGTTGGCGCCACCGCCGCCCCTCCGCGCCCGCTGGCGCACCCGCAGCGCGGCTGCGGGAGGGGCTGCGCCTCAATTCCTGCAGAGGCGGCCTGCAGGAATGTTTCAATTTTGGCGTCTTGTATAAACGCCCGAGCGGCCCACCCTTTCTTGGGGGGCTGGCGGTTCACGGGGGAGCCCCCCTGCCGCGTTCGCCTTCCCTCGACGACGATGTCGACGACTTCCCACGTTCTGGCTGAAAGGCGGGCCCACTCTCCCTCGTTCGGGCCGCTTGTTTTCTGGGGGGCGCTCACGGAGTCGTTCGGGCCGTTCGTTCGTGCGCGCATGCTTCTGGAGTTTTCTGCGCGTCGTTCGGGCCGCTCGTCCTGGTGCGAGTCGTTCGGGCCCCTCCTCACCAGCCCATCTCACAGCAGCAACTCTCGCGAAGCATGCCGACAGTCGTGTTTTTCAGGCGTGCGCCCGCTGGGCCCCGCATATCTCCCCTGTTCCTCCTTCCTCCTGCCTCCTTGTGCATCCTCCTTGCGCGTGTGCGCGTGTGTGGGGGGGGGGGGGGAGGGCGAGGCGAAGGAGGAGGGAAAGAAAGCGCTCCTCGTGGTTTGAGTCGCTTGGGGTTTCTCGTCCTGGTCTGAGTCTTTCGGGCCCTTCTTCCTGGAGTGAGTCGTTCGGGTTTTTCGTCGTGTGAGTCGTTCGGGCTCTTCGTCCTGGTGTGAGTCGTTCGGGCTTCTCGTGGTGTGAGTTGTTCGGGCCCGTCGTCCCGGTGTGAGTCGTTCGGGCCCCTCCTCCTGGTGTGACTCGTTTGGGCTCCTCGCGGTGTGAGTCGTTCGGGGCCCGCGTCGTGGTGTGAGTCATTCGGGCTCCTCGTGGTGTGAGTCGTTCGGGCGCATCGTCTTGGTGCGAGTCGTTCGGGCTCCTCGTGGGGCTCCTTGGGGGCCTCTTGGGGCCATCTTGGGGCCTCTTGCGACCTCCGCAGAAGCGCGAAGGGGAGCTGCCCCCCGAGAAGGACAAAATGAGCGCGAAACCCTAGTAAAATCAATGAGTGGAGTAGGAGGCAGAGCAGCAGTGGTACGGTGAGTAGTAGCAGCAGTAGTTGTAGTAGACTTCGTAGTAGCAGTAGAAGTAGTAGTGGGAGTAGTAGTAGTAGGAGTCGTCGTAGTAGTCGTAGTAGCCGTTGTAGTAAATGACTGAGGGCGGCCGTCGTCGAAACCAACGATTTTTCCCGACCAGCGTTGTTGTCGTTGCAAGTCTGGCTTCTAGTATTGGAGTGTGGCTGTGAGCTTCGCTCCGCCTACCCGTAACGCACGCGCCTACTGGGTTTTTTTGGCACGAGGTGGTTTATCTGGTCGAGGACGCCGCCGACGCGTGAGTCGACAGAGTCGGTTACGTGTAGGACTCGAGGACGACCGCCTTCTGTTTTGCCTCCCATCGCCTTCTCTCCCTCCTCCTCTTCCTCCTCTCCGGCTCCTAGTCGTAGCAGTAGAAGTAGTACCAGTAGGATCAGTTGTAGTACTGGTAGTAGTATGAGCGCTGCCTTCTCCTAGTGTGACTCGTTCGGGCTCCTCGTGTTCTGAGTCGTTCGGGGCCCGCGTCGTGGTGTGAGTCGTTCGGGCTTCTCGTGGTGTGAGTCGGTCGGGCGCCTCGTCCTGGTATGGGTCGTTCGGGCCCCTCCTTGTGGTGTGAGTCGTTCGGGCCCTTCGTGGTGTGCGTCGTTGGGGCCCCTCGTCCTGGTGTGAGTCGTTCGGGCTCCTCGTGGGGCCGCTTGGGGGTTGCTTGGGGGCGTCTTGGGGCCTCTTGGGGGCCTCTTGGGGACCTCTTGGGGGTATCTTTGGGGCCTCATGGAGGCGTCGTGGTGCCTCCTGGGGATTTTTTGTGGGCCATCTGGGGACCTCTTGGGGCCATATGGTGGACCTCTGGGGGCCTTCTTGGGAGGCTTGTATGAGCGCTGCCCCTCCTCCTGGTGTGACTCGTTCGGGCCCCTCGTGGTGTGAGTCGTTCGGGGCCCGCGACGTGGTGTGAGTCGTTCGGGCTCCTCGTGGTGTGACTGGGTCGGGCGCCTCGTCCTGGTGTGAGTCGTTCGAGGCCCGCGTCGTGGTGTGAGTCGTTCGGGTTCCTCGTGGTGTGAATGGGTCGGGCGCTTCGTCCTGGTATGAGTCGTTCGGGCTCCTCCTTGTGGTGTGAGTCGTTCGGGCTCTTCGTGGTGTGAGTCGTTCGGGCCCCTCCTCCTGGTGTGAGTAGTTCGGGTCCCCCCTCCTGGACAGAGTCGTTCGGGCCCCTCCTCGATGTGTGAGTCGTTCGGCGAGG